TGGAAGTGGATTGTGCTTGCTAGATAAATCACAAGGGTTTTTGCATTGCCTTGTCACCATAAGGCATTTGTGAGACTAAATTTCAGGTAATTAAATGGCTCACCAAAGTTGGGAAGTGGTTGGAATATTGGTAACTGGCAGCTTCAAACTAATGGCAAACCTGCTTGCCATCTCAAGGTCACAATGCCAAAGCTAAAGCATCATGCTGAAAAGAACACTCCACATCTGTTTCTTTGCTATATTGTAAGAAAGATGCATGCAACGTGAGATTGCTTCTCAATGTGTTGTCAACTATTAAGGGAATTCTTTTGATTGTAAATATGGTGATTATAAGTGATGTTATGCCTGGAAACATCAAAATTCCTACCTGAGCAAGAGCCAGGATAGCAAACACCTAAACATGACATAATCAGGGTTAGCCACCAACTCGATGAAGACGGCCTTGGTATTATTGTTGATAGCAGCTGCAAATTCTTTGGGGAGAAACCCGATGCAAAGTTCTTCTCAAGATGACCTTGTTTACCAAATCAAGGCATAAGACAATCAACAAAAGAAATTTGACAATGCTTTTGAGTTGATTGCAAGTCTGGAGTTGTGAATATGAAAGGGCATGAGATAGATCACTCAGTTATCGATCTTAGCATTGTGATGGCCATAAACAGGTCTATATGGTCAATGGCAGGTGAATCAGTCAAAAACATAATAAAACTACTGCAGAAGGCAGTGTATGGACAAAAGCCTTCAAAACAAGCACATTATTGGCATGTTCTTTGATGGCTTACACACATTGACACCAAAAACAGCCGAGTTTAATGCTATTAGCACACGCCACTCAAGTATGAATATGGAAGGACTCATCTGTAGTGGCAGCAAAGGTGGAGTTCACAAGCATTCATGGGGGTGAACTCGCTCAGGACGCCTCGCCATTAATTATATTTGGAGGAATTTGCCTTTCATGCACATTCTGATGAGAGAATTTCTCAATTCAATACTAAATTCTACTATTCTTGGTCATGAATATTCTAGTGTTTGCTATGGCCGAATGAACCCGTAGACGGCCGTTTATTAACGGGCCTCTACGGCATCATACCGTGCCGTAACCGTACCATAAAGCAACTCCCTCGATGGCTGACGGTACGGACACGGTGCCGTTGTACAGCAACCGTGAACCACACCACACGGTAACGGTGTGCAGCCCTACACCTGCACACTGGCTATGAATTTGGTAGACCGGCCGGAAGGCGTCGCAATGGCAGCCTAGGTCACCTTGCGAGGCGTTGCTCAAATACGTCCTATACAAATTATGTGATCGGGCCGAATACAAAGATCGTCGGCGTATCTGGCGCAGCAGAGTCGGGAGGGAAAGCCTCGAATAACTGTAGGCTGGATCACTAGATATGATGGATCATATTGATCTGTCGGACGCACTGATATCTGTCGTTGATCTCAACGATCGTACTGTATTGAACAGACTTCAACAGCATGTTATGAGCCAAGCTAAAATTAGTATCAATCGTGTAGCAACTGGTACAATTCACAGCAGAGCTTCTGAACAAGAAGCTGGTTGACGGGTACTAGCATTGATGGCAAATTCTGGTTGTTGATCTCCATGTAAATATTTGAATCGTCTCGACTAGCGTCCTAGTACAAGTTTTGAAGCTGTGTCAGGAAATAACGGGTGGTAGATGCAGGAGGTGATAAAAGTCATACTAGCTGACAGTCCCAAAATGGAGACTTCACGACCTTTATCAATTACACTCATAGAACCTGGAACATCAAACGCCATGCAGTACAACAAGGATCCAACTCAAATTAAAAGGTGTGCTGCACACTGTTTAGTCAGTGCTGAGTACAGCTTGCAGCCGGTCCACTGATCCTAAAATGTTCACTCCCTAAAATGCCATACGTGAATTACCCACATCAAAGAGGCGAGGTTTCCTTCTCAAGCCACTTCAGGGCTCTCCCATCGTTCTTGAGAAGAGGCGAAACTTTGGCCCATGTTTCCGCGTGATAGGCGTTGAGCCATTCGCGTTCGCTTACTGTCAACAAGCCTGTGTCAATGAGCCTTTTATGGATGGGGCACCTGAAGTTTCTGGTTTAGCGCAAGCCGAAGAAGTGACAATGCGAATCGATACACACATGGTGACGCATTCGAAGCCAAGATAGCCTTTGTCGCCGAAATTGTTGGGGGTGTTGACTTCACGCACGAGGACGATGCTCTCGATTCGAATGCCGAATTGGCCATCGGCATAATAGCCAGGCTCATTGGATACCGTCATGCCTGCTTTCAGTGGGGTGCTGTTGTATCCTGCACTAGATCAGACAGGCTGTTCTTGAGCGAAGGAACTCAGGATTCTTCTCACCTATCCGTACACCGATTCCATGGGGGCCTTCGTGGACATTGAGATAGTGGCCCACGCCGTGTCCGGTTCCATGACTAGAGTTAAGTCAAAACTCAGGCCGTGAGATGAATGTTGTTTTATACCGATAATCTATAGCTTGTATGAGCCACGTAAAGGGCGATAACAGGAAAGAAACATACCGAGGCCATCCTGCCATAGAGCTCTACGAGCCCATGAATCACTGAAAGGATATGTATGTATGATCAGTCAGTCATTCAAAGGCTTTCTGCAAGTATCTCTACATTATGTATCCTGCTCCCTGTTCAGCTATGGCTCAGTCCGATATTCATCAAAAGTAACGGACCTGTAGTGCCACTGGGAAACACTGCGGTATCGATTGAGATATGACCTTGTAGAACACGGGTAAATGCACGTTTTTCCTCCTCTGTTGGAGTCCCGAAGTGCTGGAAGGAAGGTAAATCATATTTATTTACAGGTTAAAACATCGACGAACCCATGTTCTGGTAACGTCTGTTGTGCCGTCGGCGAACTGAGCTATAAAGAGACGCATACATCTGTAACAAGAACATGAACATGATAAACTGTTTAAAATTCGTTACCTCCGGAATCACAAAGATAGATCTGAGTACAAGTGGATAGTAAGCTGCTGAAAATGAAGTGGAAAGGTGTATCGAACCTGGTCCTTCTTTATAATTGCACAATCCGCTGGATCAGGTTTGTAGTGGATGATAGCTGCAAATGTCATTTGTACCCATGTAGAACAAGAAAGCCTCCAAGAACGTACCGCCATTGGGTCCAGCCGACGAGATGGTATCAAAGGAGAGGCCACGGAACAAGTCTAACTCACTGAAAGTAGCACTTGGTAAAAAAAATCCCTAAGCCCCAGAAGTACATACGATCTAAAGGCCTCCAGTTGATCTGCACCCTGGCTTTCATTGATTTCAGCACCATTGTTCAACTCCTCCTCAAGCCAAGCGAAGTATCGTGCTAATGCTGCCCCATCGCGGATGTGTGATTGACGGAAACCCTCTAATTCAGTAGCGTTTTTGATAGACTTGAGGTCGGCAATGGGGGAGGGCCCGATATCGAATTTATCCTATTGGGTCCTGAGAATGACGACTTTCCCTTGAGACATTCAGATACGCACCTTGCCGAGAGCATGAGCAATTGCGAGACTTGCAGTGCTGCCAATGAGAACTTTCTGTGTGCCATTCAGATAATGTGGTCATCATATAAAAGACACGCACCATGTCCTCGTTGAGCGTCAAAACAAACGGCAACTGTTTGAGGTAGGTGAAAAACTCGTTATAAGGCCATATCTTGATATCATCTCCAAGGTATTTGAGAGCATCATCGCTAAGCTGATCCTTCTCAACAAACAGGTTCACCGAGTCGTGTGTGATGACAGCGTAGGCAAAAAACACTGCAACAACAAAGGTCAAGTAAAAGTCGTACATTACCGCCGAAACTACATACCAGGATTGTAGTCAATATCGGAGCCACGAAGATTAAATAACCACGCGACTTCATCAAGCATGTTCACGACGAAGGCTTGGTGCTTCTTCTTGGAGAGTTCCTCCCTAAGCGTCCTGATCTTGTGGCTTGGTGACTGACCAGAATACTTCTCATCGAGGTGGATAACTGGATTTTGCGGTCGGGCAGGGCGATCGTTCCAAACGGCATCGACGAGGTTCTTCTCGACGGGAATGAGAGCAGAAGCCTTAGGTTCAAGGGCCTCGGTGATAGAATCGGCATTCGCTGTGATTCATTGTTCAGTGGATACGCTGATAGGTCGACTGAGGTCTTTCTCACATGCAGATATGAGCGTGGCGTCAATACCTATTCGTGTTGATGGTTCCAGATTCTGATAGACGCATCATTCAATGTCCCTTGCTTCAATGCAGAGTGTGATACCTTCGACAGAAACTCCTGCCAAGTCGGAACATCTGGGATAGGTTAATAGAGACGTTTAGGAAGATAGTGGATGAGGACTAACCAGGCAAACCCTGCTTCATCAAAGTCCAATTCCTTTATATCTCCATCAGATCTTATAAAAGATGACAGTGCTAGAAGACTGACTTGTCCAGTTGCTTCTCTGCCTGAAGGAAGTATCGACCGTCGGTAAACAAGAAGGCATCCTTCGCTGTCACCACAGCACACCCTTTGTTCGACGAATATGAGAGATTTATTTGACACGAGCAGAATAAGGTCCATACCGGCCGATCCACTGAAACCAGAAATGAAAGCCCGTCGCTCGTCACAGTGTGCAAGATATTCGCTGGAATCTGCACAAAAGTGGTCAGCTACCCACACCATCCGACTTCATCTGTTAATTCACGCTGGTCTTCGCTGGGCACTACGAAAGCCTGGATATTGTCTTGGGCCATGAGCTGCCGCAGGCCAGCTAACCTCTCCGTAGTATTGACCGTCCCACTGGCTACCGATGCCATTGTTGTCAATGTGTTTGATGATGACCTACTCTGAAGCCTTAAGGTGAAGGACCTGGACAAGAGTTGTCGTGTGGACCACACATGACGGCCGTGGAAGAACATGACCCGAACAAGCCGACGGTCCGGAATGGATGCCCAATTTTGTCATACTCATCCACATAGCTGGTGAGTAAGTTAATGTAGTTATGGTTCAATGGTCTAGTGGTTATGATTTCTGTCTCACAAATTGGGATTTCCAACCATATCACGGTCACAGAAGGTCTCCAGTTCGATCCTGGATTGAACCAATTTTTGCGATTCCGACTGACAAACCCTGTGACGGACTCCAGACAGAAACTTCTAACCCAATTTTTCCAGGTTCAATGGTCTAGTGGTTATGATTTCTGTCTCACAATCTGGGATACTAAACCGTCCAATGGTCACAGAAGGTCTCCAGTTCGATCCTGGATTGAACCATATTTTGCCTCAGCGCACTGCCTTTGTTCTCTGAAACAACTTTTCCTGTCTATTTACTCAATTAACCACGAGTCGTATTTTAAGTCCATCTCGGGGAGGGTATCCAAAATTATAACAACAACAGCGGTGGTCTGAATCATATAAAGGTCGTAGGCAAGACCCAAGTCATGGCAGTGCTATCCGAACGTCCGTGGACGCTGAACGACTTGGAATCGGCGAGTGACTCTGGCTACGAGACCCGCTCGGCCTGCCATTTCCATTGAGCTGCTGCGTCGACGCCCCCTTCTTCAGTCGCGTCCGTTCATCAACAAGATCATCATCGTCGTCAGATGTATCCTCTTCCCGTAGCTGCTCCAGCCCCACCGTCTCCGTCACCCCCGCGTGTTCGTGCTCGTCAAATGCATTAAAAAGCGTCGCAGAGTTGTTGCGGTAGTGCGAGTTGCGGCGTGTGTGACCTCTTGGCGCGGGCCCGACACACGAATCGCCGTTCCAGCCATCGAGAGACATGCGGCCTTGCAGACTGAGACGTGGGTTCATGAGACCGCTCTCGAGTGTTGAGTGTTCTCCGAGCGCAGGCTCAGTCGTCCTTGATAGATTGAGCAGATGTACACCAGCAAATGTGACGGCAAAGCCGCAAAGAAGGGATACTGTGTTGGTGGCGTTGCTGGTATTAAATCCTTGGAAGAGGATGAGGGAGGCAGTGATGGTGGCCGAGGAGAAGCCAACAAAGTACATAGGGTTCACGCTGCGAATGGGTTATAAGCATGCTGTGCGTATTGGGAACGGTGGGGAACGGTGGACTTACACGTTCGTCGAGAAGGTGTCGAGGGCTTTGTTGAAATAATTCATCTGTATGAGGATACATAGTACAACCACTATGCCCAGCACGTATGTATCCGGATGTGAAAACTGGTTTTTGCCTCCGAATGTGAGCTTGACTGCGACACCGAAGCCCTTGATGGCCATGACAGATACTGAGCCGACGAGAGAGCAGATAGAGATGTAAATCAGGGGGTTCGACCGGCCGTATCTGGGCGCAACGGCGTAGATCATGATGAGGGTGAAAACGAGGACCGTAAAGCAGTATAGCAGAAACCCTGCGATGAACGGGTCAGAAAAAGGCAAACAAAGCAAGAGATAGAGCAATGCACCTGGCCGCAGAGCATAACTCAGATATTCATCTACTGTTTGAACGTCTTTATCCTCCGGTGCATGCAATACGATGATGAGGGAACCAATCAAACACAGTGTACATCCTAAGCGCCCTAGATGCCCAAGTTCTTCGTTTAGAAGAAAAGATGCGAGCACAGCACTAATTCAAAAATTCAGCGGGTAGCTAAGTAAAGGCATGGAATGACGCACCCAATTAGTACACTCAGTGCTCCTAGTGGGGTGACAAGTATTGGCGGGGCAAAGGCATACGCTGCAAAGTTCGCCACTACAACACTCGGTTAGATCGCTGGAAACGGCCAAGAATAAGGTACTATTCACCTTCACCAATAACCACTACGGCAGAAAAATTAGTATAACGTGAACTCACTAAGCATCCGAAGTCACGTACTGGTCGACAATCCTGTCCACCATATTGGATTCCTTAAGTACGCCAAGTTATCTGTTGCGGATTGGGCGCCATATGATGCATTTCGTTTCGCAGTGTCGTTCAAGCCCTGTAGAAACGGGAAATAAGCAAAACCAAGGAAAACGGGAGTAAAAGGGATAGCAACCTTTTTTGTGATGATGAAGCTTGTACCGATTAAGATGGAACCAGAAACAGCCAGTGCGATTCCAATATATTTATCGTCAATCATAGCGGGAAGGTGGTACAAAGAAGGGGCCTTTCGGCCTAAGAAGTGGTTGAAGTGGGGAAGCAGGGACCAGAATTCCGCTGTATGGCGCAGTGCCGTGGCATAAATGTCCCACGTGCCATTATTCGCTGAGCTGTGCCTCAACGCGATGATCGTTCATCCCGCTTCACCCCATCCGCTTAATGGAAAATAAGAAGAAGAAAAAAGTCGATTGCAAAATATCACAGAGGCCAACACATTATCAAGAAGCGTTTGAAGGTAAGTAATAGGTATCAATGCTGAGACGGACCCCTATGGACATCCGATCAATGGAGAGGTGTATGCTGGGAGGTATGTACGAGGTGGCTTCATGAGCAGCCATGATAACTGAACAGTATAGATACGAGGATAGGTGAATGTGATAAGTACAAGAGGGAGAGGGGATGAGGGGGATGTGGTAGGGAAACGTACAAGTGAGTAATGCAAGACAGTGTTACACATAGATTAAGGTCATTTTGCAGGCTTGAAGGTCGGTATCTCTAGCTATTGGTCTTGAAGCTTGAGGAAGTGTCGCACAACTGAACTCAATGAATTGGCACTTCTTCCGGATCGGGTGGCACCGGTATTCCGCTTGGAACGTTGATAAACAGGATACCGCTCTCCATGAACACTTCAACATCGTCACGCTGAAACGGGCAAAAGAAACAAAAAGAAAATCGATTAAAATTTCAAGCTCAAACAAATGCGCCAAAGGAAAGCGCACGTTGGTTTCGGCGGGAACTGCAAACGTCCTCGCGAACTCGCCGAACCTCCGCTCTCTGATGGTCGTAAACTCTAGCAACATCCCATCTGCTGATTCACCAGCAGAGACGGATGGAAACACAGGTCGCACGACACCAGTAACAGTGATTTGCTTTACGCGGTTCCAGGAGCACGTCGAGAGCGTCACTCTTACGTCGGCTTTGTTGACGCCTGGAACTTCAAGCATGACTCTGAGTTTCTTAGCTTCAGCATCGTACCACGAGTCCATGCGGAGGACATATTTGCGGCGAGGCTCTTCTCTTTCTTTTTCTCTTTCTCGTGTCGGTGGAGCGAGGAGAGTGTCGACCGGTGACCTGCAGACGGATCTATTAACGCCCAACAAGCCATCACAGAACCACGTACCCCATTACGGAAGTATAACCAGCAAGGCGACTTGTGACGCTTGCAGGCGAAGGTATAGCCGGCGACGGCATAGACATCAGCGGCATGGCAGGAGAATGCATTCCAGAGGATGACGCCTGCATTGACGACGACGGCTGCATCGACGGCTGCACACTCGAAAACCTGACAAGCGCCGGCTGTTGTCGAGACGGCGGCGCTGAAGTCGGGGCGCTTGCGCTTGGAGGCCGCCTCATGTAAGGATGGGTTGTTTGCTGTTGACGATGTGAAGAACGCGTTTGCCTGGCTGGGCCGATCGTCGATGTAGACGCCGCACTTGATCGTGTATCGACCTGCAAAGAGGTACGACGGCCCGTGTCCCTCAAGCTTTCACGCTGGCCTTCATGCCTCTGAGTAACGTGATGAAGACGTATTGGAGTGTCGTCAAAGGCTGAGCGTGGCTGTGAGGGCACAACACGAGACGCATCTTCGAGTTGTAGGGTAGCATCTTGCAATGGTGTGTGTGGCGGTGGTGGAGAGGGAAGTTCAGGCGAATGTTGGTGTTGCTGCTGTTGTCGGAGCTGTTGCTGGTGTTGCTGCTGGTGTTGCTGTTGTACTTGCGCTTGTGCTTGAGGTTGTGCTTGAGGTTGTGCTTGAACTTGCTGTTCATTCTCCATTGTTTCCCAAGAAGGAAAAGCGAGTGGTGTTGTTGGATTGGAAAATTCTTCACCTGGGTATTGTCCGTATGGATAAGACATAGGGAAAATCCACTTATTAAAGACCATCATGGCCTAATTTATAGGGCGGGACAACGAGTCATCACAGCGCATCCGAATGCGTCAAACAATGGGCATGAGGCAGGGTGACCCCCAAGCGAACTGCCACTTTCGGGGTCCCTGCACAGCATTCGTCGGGATCCGGCGCCGAGTGGGGCGCACACCACGTGCTCCGCCTTGCGCCAAGCTCCGCGCCACGCGTCCTGACTATGCTCCAACTTTGCTCACCAAGCTACGTGGTAGGTGAGATGGACTATGGTACATTGTCTATTCAATCTATCTACAATTAGGGTGTTACAATATTGTTTTTCTGCCATTTCGAATGCCTCGACGAGTATTGATCATTCAAATCACTTTGAGTCCGCTCCCGAGTCAGGCCCATTGGCGATAACGGGAGGCATCGTAGTTGGAACAAGGCTGCTCTTACGACTGCGTGGTACCAACGTGCCTGTCTCCGCCACACGTCCACCGCGATCCACGCTGTTTCTACGACTGCTCGACTCCGACACCCGCCAGTCGGCGCCTCTTCGGGTGCCTGAGTTCCGCCAACTGGATGGCTCAATTGGGGAGTGTTCCCCATGGACGTGGTACGATACTGTCGGTGACCCAAATGAAGAGGACAGGGACGGCGGAGGGACCGACGGGTATGTAAGGGTGCGCGGATGGAATGAGGCACTGGCGTCTCCGATGTTAGAGTTGTACGAGAAAGAAGAGGGTGGGCTCGTGATATTTGTATTGGGGCTCGTAAGACTGCCAGGATTTGTAACCGGTGAGAAGGGAAACGGCGAGTCGGAGGACGACGGAGAATGTGAGAGCGGTGTGTTTCCTTCAGAAGCATGGACAGGTCGATGGATTCGGGACGATGGACGTGGTATTGGAACAGCGTGTATGGGCCGCGCCGCACCGCCGTTGATGGGAGCGTGAAGAACAGAGGTTGCTGGTGAAGTAGATCCTTTTGTGAACGACGCAGATGAAGATCTTCGATGAGTAGGCTGAGAGTATGGATCAGTCGAACCTAAGCCTATTAAATTGTCGACCGAAATCCCAAGCTGTTGTGGCTAACTTGTCAGCAACGCAACGGCAGCATCGCATTAGAGGACCGATGGACTTACACGACGCCTGTGTTCAATGAGCTCTTCTCTGTACACTTCGTTGAGCCTCGATATTCGGATATAGTCCCTCTCTGTGTCAACAAGCCTGCTTCTCAGCTCTTCATTCTCCCTGCGCATCGCTTCAAGCATAGTCTCAGCACTGGGGTCACCAGAACGGCCCCCGTTCATAAACGAACGAAATCCAGTGC